CCAGGCAAAGCAGCTACAAAACGAAGAAAAAGAGTTGGAACTTATGGAACGGCGAGCGAAACTACGAATGAATAATGAAATGCTATAATCAGTTAGAAAGCACTTAAGAAGTAGTTGTTGTTTCTTTTAATATTGTTATGATTTTGTAAATGTTAGATGCCGGGTAATTAAAACCTGGTATTGTTAATGCCGAAAGCGGCAAAATCAGTCATGTGCTTGACTAGGGCGGCGTCTTGGCTTTTCTGACCCGGCACCTGACCTGTAACCTGTATCGGGGCCCTCCTTAACCATGATAACGCATCGATCAATCCGGCCGAGGCTACATTAGTAATCCCTCGCAGGATCCGATTTGGCTGGAAGTTGAGATGCCGACCGACTGCCTTTGGCAAATGTGGATCTCAAAATTTCATTCCTTTCACGAGTACTGGACACTGCTTTGATCTATGCTTCTTTTGGGGATCCCTATCAAAAAAGTAGTAGCACAGTTAGAGGAACAGCGGATACAAGCTGGCGCTTCGCTGAGCAAGGTGATAGATGCTTTGAAAATGCCATAAGTGCATGATAACCAACTAGGAAAAAGCTACTCACCAGACCTTGACCTGATTGTTTATCCCTTTTCCTTTCTTCAACGAGTTCTTCTGTTACCTGTAGTTATAACTAACTACTAGTCTAGTTATAGTCAGCGAAGGCTTCAGCTCTGAACAATACCATACTTAATTTCCTTGCTGTGATTGGCTTCTAGATGAAAAAGACTCCACATTCGGTAAAATCTCGTTAACTTCTGCATTTCTGAATATTTTTCTTCTAATTCAACTATGATCTAAGACTGCATGTGAATATTCTTGGTCTATATTTTCCAAGCTGTTGACAAGGTGGTTGTTGATGAATCACGATCTGAATATTTCCCACATCTTGGTATTGATGTTCCAGGGCAGTTACCGAAACCGCGCTGTAACTCAGTTATGCACCGCTAAGAAGCCCCTCAGATATCCTTCTGATAGTAGATATGTAAATTACTTGAAATTCCAAAACATCGAATAATGTCCCCTCAGTGCCACATGACAAGCCTGTAGCTGAGCCTCCGCGAAAAGGGGAAGCCCATGGGCTTCTCGTCTTTGGCACCATCAATAGTCAAGGTCAAGGAGACTTGGCTAATCAGATCATCTTTTGCAGTCCTGGCAAATCCTCAACAACACGGAAACGATGTCGTCTGGCCCACGTTACGATTTCACGATCTGGAGTGCGTCAGTCAATGCTGTGTGACAGTTTGCCCTCACCGCTTTTCTAACCTGGTAAAAGTAATTGACTAGCTCCATCACCTATATTCCTTCTTTTGCATTATCTTCATGTTGCTCCTATTAACTGTATGCCAACGGGGTTCTATACAGAGTTCCTCCAAAGCATCAGCCTAAAGGAAGTTGCGGTGGATATCCTAATAGCGTTGCACTCATACCAGACGATTATTAAACGTGAGATACCGCTCGAATGGCTCAGTGCCAGGTTCAAGGAAAGAAATATCCTGGTGTCACGACCAGATCAATCAACTTAGTTTGGAGTTTCTCGAACCGGTGTATATTAGCTTACTTCCCTTATTACTGTTTAGATAACTAACAGTATCATTATAGAAGCCACTGCACTTTTATAGCCGTAGATCCATATCTACAGCTGGCTGCGTGTCTTCCAGAAAACTTTCGATCCTATGCCGACTGGCGTCTTATGAATTACATAATTACTAGACAGGCACGATATAGGTTGAGTCGAAATTTCTGCAACTGCTTTATAAATTTTAAAGCCTGGATAGCAGTAACGTCGATGTATTTGCTGACTTGACTCTTCTTATTGTCATTCAGGAGTAGTATTGGGAGTTTTCCTTCGTCCTCAGAAATGCGAGTCGCAGCCGTGACCAGATGCGAATGGTCGATCTGAGTTTTACCGTCGTCTCACATTAACATATTTCAGTAGCATCTGAACTGTTTCCGCACTGCCCCGCAAATATACATACTGGATGGCTGTCCCATATTCAGATGAATAGTGATTGATATCGGCCTCGTCTGACAGGACTGGGGACTCCGGCAAGACTGTGAAGTCCACCAGGACTGGATAAGCCAGGGCAGATACAGTCTTAGCAACTTAAGGCTTGACAGACCAGACCAGTGGGAGTAGGTTAGTTCCTTGGTTGATAAGGCGGGATTTTGTTTCGTGGCCGGGACAACTTTCCGATCTCTAGGTGCCACCCAATATCTACAGCTCTTCCGTCTCCATCGGACATCTCTTTTCGGTAGAGTTGGGAATTAGCAGCGACAATTATTTGCTGTCTCGATGGCAAATCAGCGAATAACCCGGAAGTCTTCTTTCAAATAGGACAAGACCTAGGCCATTGCTAGATTCTAGGCCCGGGAGCAACATCCGCAATATATTGATCAGTGGCAACTTCATTGTCAACAGAAATATGATGCAATACCACCTTTACAGGTTATAAAAGCACACTCGATTAGTCTCCCAGCTTCTCAAGACATCTGAGAACCATCAACAGCTTTGACTTAACAATTTACAGCATCAACCCACACCTCGACAAAATCAAACAAGTTAATCCATAAAAATGGCCATCTACGTCACTGGACAGCGCGTTCGCTTCAGACCTGCTGGCGGTAAGTGACAATATTTCGAATATGTCGAATGCACTTCGTTCAATGTCCCTGATCGACCTATTTCAGAAACGCACGACCACACCGGCATCATCAGGGAAGTCGTTGAAGATACCGGTGTCACTCATAGACACCGCTATGAGGTATGGCCTACTCTTTGATTAAGATCCTTGTCGGGATTAGTTGGTTGCTAATGTAGATTCGATTGGAAGATTGAGGATCTCACCACTGGTACTATGAACACTTTATATGAAGCGGATATTATTACGGTGGTATAATGAAAAGGGGTGTATCGAAAGCCGCCTTTTTGGCTCTGGCATTCGACTATCGGTCAGGGATTAAAATACCATTCACCGACACATACAATTGAGCAGATGAGCTTCTTGACACGGTGGAATGGATGATAATGGTCAAGATCCTTTGAGTCAATGGTTCGAAAGCGGGCGAAATTGCTATTTACTCGTTACTCGTTTCTTTAGTCTATTAGAGTTAAAATCGAGACATGTGCATGTGAGATTAGACAGGCAATCGACAAGAGTTGGATCGGTCATCTTATGAGATGGACTGTGTTTTGATCGGGGTAAAGCTCATAGTATCTGTCTCATTATCTCCGCCATTCCTCTGCGACCTCCTCCGCTACCTCCTCCACACTCTCTTCCGGGAGTGCTGCCGCCTGAGTTCTTCTAGATATAGCATGATCGGACTGATCTTGTTTGGGTAAATTCGTTCCCTGTCCGAAAGTCACAATTTGGCACTGTCCCTTTCCCTCGCACTTTCCCACCCTGCAATTTCCCCTTCTTCAATTCCACCTGGCCCCTTGAATCATCCTCTGCCCCCAAAACCTCCCACTTCCAAGTATTTTTTTTTTGCATACACTCCACTTGAACTTCGAACCCCGTCCGAAAGCACCATGTCTTCACGCATTAATCATGGCGGATGCGTTCCACTTACCAGCGAACCCGAGTCGCCTTCTTCAGATCATCAAATCGGGGCGCTTGGCAGTAACAAATCAGAGAACATTATCTCATTACCAAGCGAGGGTACGTACGAATCATCCAGTTCTATCATCAAGGGGCGTCGCTCAACGGTGATTTTTCCAGATACGATCCAAGGTCCTGAAAGTGACTGCGAAGTGACGAGCAGCTTCAGCTTTGATGATGCCGATCCGCCCCAACCAGAAACCTTCTCACGCGTGCAAAATCACGATCCATTCGGGCGTAAGTCGTCATTCTCGCCGCGGTGCGCCGATGATGGGCTATGTCATGCCGACGCCAACCTAGTGTCAGAAGTACCTGAGACGCCCCCGTCCACCATCAAAAGCTCTGGCGGTGCTAGTGTAAGCGACAAAGATGATGACGGTCTCTTGAGTCGTTGTATGCTGTATGAAGGCGAGGAAGGCTTGCTGGATGTACCGCGATCGGAGGTCCAGCTCTCATTTGAACACGTGGCCGAAACATCCCCTCCACAGCTCGATCATCAAGTGGCTCAAGGTATTACTTCGAGCAGCTTGTACAGCAAGGTCGACAGTACCCGATCAAACCCTACCAGCCAAAAGAGACCAGCGAGTGCTACTTTGGAGACGGATGGAGAAGCAAGTGGTCCTCGAACAAGGGCAAGGGCAAGGGCTAGGGCTGAAGCATCTGAAGCATCCAGTTCATTGCCCACTCCCCGCAGTGCTCGACCTTATTCAGCGGCCGAAGACGAGGTCCTACAGAAATTGGTGGCTAGAGGGCTCGCGTGGGAAGAAATTGAGAAGGAGTTCGGTCTGCGCTTCGCTAAGAGGACTTCGAGATCACTGCAGATGCGTTGGTCAAGAAACCTGAAGCTTACAGCTCCGTCGACCAGATGCTCGAAACGCAAGAGGTCTTCCCCGTGGTAAACTCGCATGTTGATTTTTCTATACCAGAACGAATCTTGCAGGATGATCCAGTCCTTACGTAGTGGCAGGTTCGATCAAGTTTTAGGTCCTCCCTCCAACTAAGCAGCTCATCTCGCTTCACTGCCATAACTTCCCGGTCGTGGGCCTGTCGGGGGATTATAAGCCATAGACGTCTTTCCCCGTCTTCGGGTAGTCTGTAGCATACATCCGAACTCGGTTATATCCAGACCTCAAAAAAATCTTAGCAATGGAGCCTCTCTGTTGGCGAAGAGTCTGAGTCTCCGACCTCGGAAGCAGATAGTCATCGTGAGCACGACAGAGCCGGAAACTGTGGACCAGGGCGCCCCGACCCATCGGATACAGCTTGCCCAAAACCTATGTGCTATTGAACTCTTAGGGATTGATTGGGCAGCAATGTTTCTGCCATTCACACCCGCTGTACTAGTGCAGCTGTGGTCTTGAAGGTTAGATCAGACTTGTATCCGCACGCTCCAGTAATTTTTGATGGCCACTTGCGCAGCGGCACAGGCACTTGCGGCGAGGTAAAGCTAGAACGAAATCAGGATACCTCTGAGGTCAATACTAGCGGAGAATATCGGATCGTTTGTCCGCGGCAGGTCAGACTGGCTTCCTCCTGTGCCAGTGCACAGCAAGCAGCCAAAGGAAGCGTGACGACCACTCAGCGAAAAAGAAACAAGTCTTGTGGACAGCTCCGCACAGGGACCTCAGGGCAAACAGATGTCCCTGGGAACTGCGTTGATCGCGAGAAACCAGAGATCTCAACATTTGAATGGTCCAAAAGGCTCTTTCATATTTGCAGTGACTTATGATTGGTGGCAAGAGCACACCAAAACCAACGGCTAGGATAGGCGGCACCAGGCAAAAGGCAACGAGAGTTGTCGTCCAATCACGCATGAGAAGTTAGCGCCTGGTCACCAAAATCCACCATCATATGTGATTGATTGACCAGAAGAGGTTCTCCGTGGTTGATTGGCTGCTTGGAAATGAAAGGGTCCCTGTGCGTTAACGAGTGTCAGCCGCACCACCGCAAGCTAATGGGATGCACATTAACAGTCAAAAGTACAGTCAAAACCAAGATATTTAGATCATGGTTTTCCACGGGAAAGGAACGCAATGAAAGTCTCTTCGCTACATTCTCACTCTCGCACTGAACGTCAAGACCAACGCCTTTCCCCGCCAAACCCTAAACAACGATTTCCAACATCCCGAACCCTCCTGAGGTATGGCAGAAGATAAGAACCCCAGTGGTTTGCCACGCTAATTAATCAGGATATCTAGCTTGCAGTGTACGACACAACCTTCCAGCCACGATGACGGCTAGTTCGGGTGCCAGTGGCTCCTGTCGGAACAGCAGAAATCTTTGGAACGACGGGCATCGGAGACACGTCTGCAAGGAGCCTGACTGCCGGAAACAATGGAAATTCTGTCAGACTGGTGATCATGGCGGCCCAGAGAATCGTGGCAAATATGCTATATGTGCCAAATGCAAGGATCACCCAGCTGGTGGACCGGACGGTTTCGAAGAGTACATAGACTTGACAGTCTAGAAGAGCATCTCTGAGTGTCTAGGGTCATTCGGGTGTGGAGTCAATGGCCTCAATCCAGTTTTGAATAGATTTGGTGCTGGAATCTGCAGATTGTCCACAGTTAGAATCAGTGCTGTCGAGATCCGACTCATCGGAACTTTCGATGTCAATCCAGGGATGTTGATATAAAGGCTTCTCACGTGCCGGGTATCCTGTCATCCGTAACCATTCGAATATTCCACGAGTTGCTCCTTCAGATAATGATTGTGAAGAAGAATGACAATAACGCAGAGTTGGAGGAGATCCACGAGCCTTCTCGATATTTAACTCCGTTACATCTGACGTAACCTGGCCAAGTCCCGGGTCTTGTGGTTCTTCGCCGTTGGTGAGACACCAATACCAAGCGTTGTATCTGAAGTAATGGCAATTGCATAGTGCATGTTTCTGGACTTCCAGCTCAGTGTCGCAGAGGTGAGATTCGCCAAAGGGTTTCCACGGGGTTGTAGGAGCGCGAGCATGTTCATTGCTGGAAGTTAGGAATAGCAGTCGGCATTCATCCTCACGGCGGATCGTCCGACCATCACTTGCCCCAGGGTTCAAGGTTATGAACGACTGTGTGGTTCCAGTCCACGCAGCTGCGTGGAGATCGACAGCCGTCAATCCGTTCTTAATATCTCGTAACTCGGACTTCGCCATCCCCATAATGATTGCGCCAAGCCAAAGCGTTGCTAACCGCGGCTGTCGCCTGCCAAGAACGGCGGCAAGCTTAGGCATGTCTCCATTTCTTAAGATTGGGTCAATCACGGCGAATGCCGGATTGAGCCAGGCACTGACCAAATTGCATTCAATATCGGCATTGAAAAAAGTGCTGCACAACAAAGATCGCATACCCCAAACGTCCGAGCTCAAAGACATGTAGGCGGAAAGAAACTTGCCATATTCAGCAACAAGTTCCATGTGTGAAGGTTGGGCCCGAGGAAAAGCAAAGCTCGCCGGATTTTGAATCTGAGTGATAGCTGTGGTGGCTGGCTTCGGCACTGGTAGCGTAGCTAACCTACCGCCGAGTAATGGGATGTAGAGTGTCGCGGCCAGAGCAGCCGAACATTGGCCATATAGTCGGTGATGCGCGCAGAACTTCGCCAAATATTTGAGAGCAGTTTCCGATGAGGGTGGTGCAGGATTATTGTTGCACATAATCGGTCTTGCATGGCTGAGAGTCCCGTTTAGGATCGATACAGACCATGGTGACATGAAGGTCTTGTCCTTATAATCTGTAGTTATCCTCCAGCCCTTATCACCAACCAAGACAGCCCTCCACCAACGAGCTTCACTTTCTTCAATATCATCACCAATCGCGACCTCCACATCGTATTTCCCGTGCGATTTTGCAATCATTCCGTTCATTTGATACTCAACCGTACATTGATGATCGGAAGAGCGACTCAGGAGCTCAGTCCACCGAACAGATAGTATATAGGCCCATGCCAGCAGTAAAACCGTGACATAATTGCCTTTGTCGTGCCCATGTAGGCCCTGGACGATCGGCCATTCCGTGAAAGGAGTTTGATCGGCAAATTCAACCTTTAGAGGGGTCTGAGTTGCCAATAGGAGTTGGTGCGGTGTGATCTTTGGCTCCAGATCGCAAGGTCCGTTCGATGTTTCCCATTTTGATTTGCCTTTCACGAAGAGATCATATGGGCCTGGTGGTGTGCCTTTCTCAACACAGTCGAACGAAAGGGATTCGTTAGCGGGCCGTATGCCGTGCGCGAGAAAGCTCGGTGTTTGCGAGAGAATATTTCTGAGCTCGATGCAGTGAAACGGGAGGGTTCCGGAATCATCCGCATCGAGATATGATGACCAGAGGTTATAGCTCTCACGCAAGACGCTGTCGTAAGTTTCTTTACTTGGACGGACGATATCACTCATTGTTGGAAGGAGTAAAAAGGAACATCCACAGTACCTTCAGAATCCAGACGAATTGTACTCGTGTCTTGCATCCTTCGGAGCACGGTGTTCTCAATATCTGTTGCTACGTCGAAAACAGAGAATAAGTAGAGGGATGTTGGTGAGATGAGTTATTGCGAGGCTAGGCAAAAGTGGATGACTTTAGCTCCAATGTTACCAATGAAGAAGGGTCAGCCGCAGTCTCACTTGTAACACGCCTGACAGACAAATCACCTCCAAACCCGTCTCACGTGACTGGGATGCGATGGTCCCTGCGGATTCCATATTCTTTACTCAAAACACTTTTTCTTCCAGTGTTTTTCATTCGTCTTCACTACTCCTCTGACGCATACACCTCTGAGATCAATAGATGCATCCATCTTCTTGTCAGTGCTCGAATGGCCCAGCCCTCCAGTGCAGATATCATCAAACCTAATCCGATCGGTGGTACCAGAGATGGGACCAGAAACCCATCCTACGGTGACTAAGCGAGGGAGCTAAGCCACACGGGGACGTGGTCGCGTCCCAGCAAGTTAACCACCCAAGTCACGCGTTGTTATGATTGCATTTGCTATTCAAGCTTGCTGATTAGTAATAATCCTAGTTGCACACATGGCAAGTTGCGGATAATGTAGAAGTAACGCTTGGGCACCAGAACCCCTCCTTGCCCCTCACTATCGCCAAAAGAAATATCTTGAGATAAGCATTTCTATGATGACAGGTGAGCTAGTTATCCTATAATCTGCATGATATCATACAGACCTCAGATTTGACGTCTTACTGTTCACACAGAATGGCTCGTGCTTTTATTCGACAGATGACCATTGACTCAGAAGCCGGTCAAACGTCGTTAAGCCTAGTTCAAGAGGCAATACAGAATGCAGAAATTGAGGAAACTGAGGATAATGGGAACGTAAACTATAAGAATAGAAGCCTAGACGAATCAGTTGGACCGCTTCTTAAATCCTTGAAGTTAGAGGTAAGGATACGCTGAATGACCTTGGGCTCAGCTAACAAATTAACAGCACTACGGCTACAAAGCATGGAAAATCATGACCCCAATTTCATTCGAGAATCGTGCCGGGCCCGGATATATAATACCAATCCTCAGAACACCGGGGACCAACGAAAAGCTATATCCTGGCTCCTATCTGTATCATGAAGGCCCTATTAGCGTCGCGTCAGGACTAACGTGCCTTGTTGTCGGACCACCATCGACCAAATGAACAATAAGTGACGGGAAACAGTTGGGTTGAGGAATACCTTGATTGTCGCGGCGTTATATGGCTTGCATATATGTTAAAGCATGGACGGACATTGTAATCTTTGCGCCTTGCATGAAACTGGAAGTGCCTTGGGCCCTCAAGGATCAAAAATTCGTGTCTCTTCCGTTTAAATCATTCAATCAGACGAAGTGTTTACATATTTGAGAGACATATCCGGTAGACGTTCATGGCGAGGATAAGAGTCGCCCGGGGAGTTAGGAGGGTCGAAAAACGAGAAGTTACCCACGGTCGATTGTGACATGTCCGGTAGACGTTCAAGGTAGGGAGAAGGGTCAACGAGAGGGTTGGAAGGGTCGAAAAACGAGAAGTTATCCACGGCCGACTGTGACATCTCCGGTAGACGTTCAAGGTAGGGAGAAGGGTCAACGAGAGGGTTGGAAGGGTCGAAAAACGAGAAGTTATCCACGGCCGACTGCGACATCTCCGGTAGACGTTCAAGGTAGGGAGAAGGGTCAACGAGAGGGTTGGAAGGGTCGAAAAACGACAAATTATCCACGGTCGATTGTGACATTTCAGGTAGACGTTCAAGATAGGGAGAACGTTCGACTGGATAGTTGGAAGGGCCCAAGAGGAACTTATGCGCCATAGACTGTGACCTTTCCGGTGGGCGTTCGAGGGAGAGAGAACGTTCAGGGGGGGTGGTGAGGAGATTCACAGTAGATCCGCTGCTAGAACTGGGAAGATGTGTGCCAATGCCTGAAGATAGATCTGAACTGAGCGATGATGGAGAGTTTATTTCCTGAGGGATGTCCCGAGGGCTCTCCGTATTTCCTGAGCCTGGAAGCGCGTAGTTCAAGTCTACACCTTGTAAGACAGATCCGGAACTTGTGAAATGGGACTATGCTTGCCTATACATTGCCATTCATTAGAGATGTTGCTATCAACCGACGTGTTTAACATTGTTTGAGGAGCGCCTTCGTGATGGTTATTAGTCAACTGGAATTGGTACTGCTGTGGGTAGGATTACAATAAAACTCACCACCTAAAACATGTCTATTAGAACTGTGTTCGTGTTGCCTATGAATTGACTCACTGCTAAACAGATCGCTCTCTCAGCCTGAGTGCTGTGGCGCAGAATTCCGGGCCTTTTTCCTGCTGCTGAGGGAATATCTGTTCCTAAGGCGCTTCTTGGTTGAAGTTGAGGGAATTTGCGATGCAGAACTAGTCCACTATGAGATACATTTGCCGTGTATTCTTCTGAACGCCTCCTGTAGGCGTTTTTGACATTCATCATCATATAATGTTTCTCCATATTCAATGAGCGCGTCAATTTCGATGGTTTGTATCTTGCTCTTTTCAAAACTAATGGCAAGTTAGTAGAAGGATGCATAGTAGCAACAAAGCACTAACTCTTCTATAGCATGCTCGAAAGGAGCCAATACCCACTCCCTTTGTGGTAGTGATGCCCACTGTTTTCTAAATCAGTTTAAACAAGTACACTTATCGCGCAGCTCCTTGCTGGGATTGCCGTGATAAGCCTGTTCCAAGATGTTCTTAACTGCAGTGGTAGTATGCTTGGTGTTCAAGTGCTGCTTAAGGGTTTTCAATCGCATTGTTTCTTTGTCGATGATGTCATGGAGGATAACAAGAAGAACCCTGCGGCGCGCAGGGTGGGCTTTTTCATCACTAGAGCTGTGCTCTAAACAGTACCACACCAACTCAGCCTCCGTGCGAAATGGCTCGAACCCCCAGAATTTGTTTGGGTCCTCAGTCTAATCCCTCAAATTCTGTGCACTGTTTTCTGTTTAGCGACTCCAGTTTTTAGTGAGTTTGACAAGCCATTTTATGTGTTCAGCTGATAACTTGCTGCCATCTGTCCACTCCCAGTTTTTAAACCATCTCGACGGGTCTGTGCGTGGATCCACTTCTAGTAGTTTATTGCGACATGAGATGCGGAGCCTGTGATTCTTGGGTATTTCTAATATTATTCTCGCACACTCTTCTTTTGTCAGAATTATATGAGTAGAATGCTGGTAAGTATGGCCTTACCGGTTCGCCAGCCGTTTTAAGAGCGACTGCAAGCTCTTGAAGCTGAGCAAATAGGTGGGGTGCTACCCTGCTTTCCATGGTATATCATAGCGGATTGAGCGGTGGAGAAAGTCCAGCTTGGAAGGTTGGGCCAGAGCCGATCTTAAGTAATGTGCCTCCTAGCGCGCAGTCACAAGTACCAGATGCTAAGAATACAATTGATTTGTTTAGTTTGATTACATCAGCTGCCGTCCCCTCCTCTGATAAATGAAGAAATACGAATTTAAAATGCCTATTCCTTCAGCGCCGTCTCCAGACCCAATAGGATATAGCAGCCAATCCCAACCCAGCTACGAATATGCCTTTGCTTGACACCACGCATGAACTCCCCTTGTCCTCATTTTCCAAAACGACAGCATTCAACACTTCGACTAGACGAGTTGAGCTCTGATAGGCACCTTGAGTCCAGCATTTCTCAATTATTGACCCAATCCAGATGTCTTTTGTGCTAGGGAGGGTTTCCCTCCGCGGCCATGTGGCTCGGGAAGCATGATTCTCGTGGAGATCGAACTTGCAGGGTTTTCCAGTCACAACCTCATACATAACAGCGCCCAATTGTCCGATATCAGTTTGAATCGAATATCCATTGTCATCGGCTGTTTCCATATTTGTATGAAGAGGCATTATTGTCGATTCGGTAAAGTCGCAAAATTTGATGTTGAGATCGGAATCAAGGAGGATATTTCGGCAAGCAATATCTGCAACGATAACTGAGCGGCTGTGTATATGAGATAGAGCTTGAGCCATCTGTCGGAACCATGAAAGCTGGCGAGATTTAGGTGGCTGATTCTGTGATAAATAGGAGCGGAGATCCCCATTTCTCATAAAGGCAAGTTGGATAGTTGTGGGAGAGAAGCTGACACACGGTAAAACACCTTCACATTGCTCGAGACGCTGATAAACCTCTTGCTCCCTCTGAATGACACTGGTGTTTAAGTCCACCTCGTCGTCCGAGCTTTGCAGGTATCTTAAAGGCATTTTTACGGCGACGCCATTTTGGAGAATGACTAATCCAGACCGACCGTACCCAAGGAGCTGGTCCTTGGATATCGGATTGCCTTCAGTGTCTAGGAATGGCGTAGACATTTTTTAAGTAAGAGGAGAGGAGAAAAGATTTGCTTGATTTTTAATGATAGGCAAAGCACTAATAAGTGACTGGTTCCGTTGAACACAGCAGTAGATTTAAATACAAGGAATGGTGGATTGCGAAGATGAAAACCAGGGGTACATGTCAAGTCAATAGATCCGCGGGCGAGTCGAATGATTTGTGGGGCGGGCCGGATGTAGTCTAGTCAAGAACGCGGTTAGCCTTCTTCCAATGCTGACAGTCAAAAGGATTCTTACCTTAGGCTCCAACTTTCACGCTTGGCGCCCCAGAGGTCAGGGACCCACCACTACTACCACCAGAACCTCCTTTATCGTCCTTCTTGTCAGATGGTCCCCGTGGTTTCCGATGCCTGGGGCAGTCCACTTTGCGCCTTGTGGAGCTGCCTTGCGAAGTTGGAGTTAGAGTTTGGCATTGTGTCCCACGTCTTTGAGCCTCAATACACCAATCAACCCCATCTTCTTCTGGATCGAACTCGCTGCAGTTTTTAGTCTTGTTCCCGACACAATCGGGAAAGCTCGCTGGGGTCTTCCATCTCTGGAAACACATGTTCGGGTCTTCTGCAACTTGATGTTATAGAATTCAATGAATGAGACGATGAATCTTCACAGGTATGCTTGATTATGCACATGTAGACCTCTATATATAAGCTTTAACGTAGGGCAACACATTAGATTAGTCAGCGCTTAGGTAGGCCCAGCGGAAAGTCTGCTTTGGATTCATGGCCCCTGAGTTGGAACAATCAACACAGCACGTAAGAAATCATCTAGCGTATCTCACAAGAGCCTTGATTCTCGACCCCACAACCAAATCACTAATTCTTCGGAGTCCTTCCACCCTCACAGATGCCCAGAACGCAATAGTTACTATCCTCAAACATAGCCAGCAGTTCTTCCTGCCACCAATCCTTACCACCACTAATCCTTATCACCTCCAATCCGTACCACTTACCACCTCCAATCCTTACCACCTCCAATCCTTACCACCTCCAATCCTTACCATCTCCAATTCTTACCACATCCAATCCTTACCACCGTAAATATTACGTCCACCCAAGTTGCTATCGATGCATCCAGACCTGCTGCAACTAGGCTTAGCCTCCATGTGTACATTAGTGAATGATTGACAAGCCAATAATTTTAAACCGGGAATCGATCTTGCTTTTCTCTACTCTAAACTATACCCACAGCATTAGTTCATGCATCACAACTTTTAGATGGCTGGCTCACAGGATTTCTCCCCTGCTCTGTCCTCAGCTTCAATTGCCCAAATAAGCAATGGAAGCCTTCCAGGAACAGGTACTGGGACTTGCCAGATTTCAAGCCCGATGAGGCACTTATGGAAGAGGCATGGGATAGTCGGAATGCATTCTACTTCTAGGATCTGAAGCGAAGAGCCGCCGAACAGGGCATCAAAATCAACAGGGATTTCGCCCAAGAGTTGGAGACTAAGAGGGCAGGGAAGAAGTTCCTTGTGCGCTCAACAAATATCCTCCAAAAGACACTCTCGCTAAACGCCGTGAGGAGTAGGTCGGGCGGGATCTACAACGGCGTGGGCTGTAATGTGAGACAGGTAGAGCTGTTTGTGTGTACTCCGGATGAATGGAAGAGGGAGGAGTATCAGTACATTAAGGATATCTACAGAAACAACAAGATCATCTAGATCATTTGCGTGAAATAACCAACAAGTCTGACTATGTCATCTGCCTATCTCGCAAATATTTTCGACCCGCATGTCATCCTGAGAAGTTGTCTTAAATATCAAGGAGGGTAGCAGGTTGGCGGCTAGGCTGCTTTGCTTTGCTTTTTATTCTGAGTTTTACCGGTCAACAGTTGTTTGTAGCTTTATCAATAATATCACTCTTGATATCCAAGTACCCCACCATCAGTGATATCCACAACCTTAGTTACTCGCCCCAGGACATGACATATGATCCACATGGGTAGGATTTGGTCTGGCCCTGTCAACTAGGTCCCCCATATCTCTCTGCAGGCAAATCATTCTCATAATGACTGGGAGAACCCAGAAGGCCTCGCCAGGGGCGATGTGCCCCTGACTAAACAGGCTTGCAAATGCTTTAGATATCAACAGGTGGTAAGGGGGGTCAGGAGGTTTAACAAAAAATGTTCGTCCAAACAGCTATTATTTGCCGTCCGTTTAGAACGTGGTCATACCAATGTCGCAATGACTGCCCATCTAGTAAGAACTCGTTTTGATTACTGATGAGCCTTTCGCTTAAGCGGGCCCAAGGTCGCCAGACATCAAGATCTCAGAGGTCAGGATCTTTAAAAACCATCACAGCACTGTTAGGATAAGCATTAGTAGCTGCAGTTTGAGAATCATTTGCAGCATAAATGCCTGGACCAAACTATTATCGCCAGCGCTGGGGCTGATGACTGGTATGAAGAAGCTCATGGATAATGCAGGCGCACAAGCTCAGTCCTCGAAATCAAAGTGTGTCACTATCGATGTTCAACGTTTCGCCCGGTTTCCTCTTCACTTGACCCATAGACTTGTCAATCTTCTTTTGGCTTTTCACTTTCAAACATAGGACGCTCTCCGGCAAGTCTGAGGACGGCTGAATGGGTAGAGGTCTGCAATGCAATCTGGGGCCTAGGATCAAGCAATCAGGCTCACTGCGAAATCCGATATTTCATCATCTGCATTCCATAGTTGACAGTGGTAATCTTGATCTCATCAACTTGATCTTAAATGCTTGCCTTCTGCCAGTATTATGTTCTGTCATGGATGATAGCTAGTGTGACACCTACTTTCAAAATCCAGCTTGGTATCAGTGTTAATGAGTAGTTGGAGAAGTTAGTAGTAAAGTTAGAATATTCACTTCAGATTTGATTTCCTTAACATTAAGTTTAGAGTCATATACTAAATTTAGGTGTGGCAAAGGTGGAATCGAAAGTGATTCTGTCAACATTCACTCATTATTATTACTGACTCAACCAGATTAATTTAACGTAATCCACAACCGAGCGAGACACCCAACCGAGCGAGACACCCAACCGAGCGAGACAGCAAAACATAATTTTGGCCGATGCTGAAATATTATGAGATATCTTACTACCACACAATCAAATTAATATAAATTTTTGAATTATTTGGATCTACTAGGGCAACTAGTTCTAATATGACCAATTTGATGGCAGTTACTGCATCATGGTGGCGCACGCTTTCTGGGAACTAATTCCACTAAGTCCATTGCCTGCATAGCTCCTTGAGCAAGTTACTGACCTTCAGATCCTGTCAAAACACCCCCAGTAGCAATAAAAGATCTTGGGGCTATACACTTCCGCTTCTGCTTTTCTTTCGAAGCTCAGTCATCTGGTGTCGTAATAGAATGACTTCATGCATGGTGGATTCAGCTGCTTTTGCCAGCTGACGAACTGCTTCATTTGGCGGGCTTTCAGAGTTGCGACTGATAAGTTGTTTGATAAGCTGCATCTGCTTTTGTACCTCAGCAGTAGTATAGGGAGTCTTTGCTGTCCATTCCCCATCTGAAGGCCCATGAGCAGTAGAGGGGGGTGTGATATGCTTAATAGTAAGCCTATCCAACACCTGTTGACGATTCAATGGAACCAGGCCAGAAGCCCTAAATCCGCTGCTGATATTAGAAGGTGATAGTGCTTTTCGTGCTCCCTTGTAGAGATCCAGAAAGTTCTCCTTGGTTATATGATGAATGCTATTTTGAATACTGCGCATCACCTCAGCACCATATGCCTCCTTTAGGGGTGCAAAGCAGCCAACATCAAGTGGCTGTAGTTTATCAGATGAATGAGAAGGCATATATAAAGGTATAATCTGATGATTCTTGCAGAACAGGTCAAACTCTGCGGATTCATGGCTAGTATGGCCATCAAGAATCAGAAGCCGATATTTCCCAAGTGTACGCGTCGCAGTATGCTTCTCAAAGACTTTATCCAACCATGACAAGCCAAGCCCATTATTGGTCCATCCATTATCGCTCACACCAATCAGCCAGTCAGGGTCTATGTCTTGATACCATTGAGATTGATGGACCTTGCCAGAGAAGATGATCATGGGGGGCAGAGACCACCCAGAAGCATTGATACATTCAACAACAGTAACCCATTCGCGATTCCCTGGCTGTACAGCTCGTACGCGGCTTGTTCGATGGCGGGATGCAGTAATGACCTTTGCTGTATGGGCTACACCCATTTGAAAGCCAGTCTCATCAAAGTTGTAGATATCCTGTTCAAGAATACCATATTTTACTATGGTATTCTGAACGAGATCAAACCACTGATTAATGATCTCAGGATCCTCACATTTTGCACGCTGATAATCGTATTTGCGGGTATATTTTGATGTAAGATCATCATGCCGTTTAATGAAGTTGCTGACCCAGTTCTTTCCAATGCCAGTAGATGGACCTGATTTCCGCTGAGATAATAGTAAATCCATCTTGCGTACAATATCTTGAGTTGGGGGTAGGCCGCGATCATCCATATCTAGAATCCACTTCTTTAATGAGGCCTCTTCAAGATTAGTAAGCTTCTGACAGTTTACTGGTATATTGCTTCGCGCCTTTCGACCATTGATGCGATCGGCTAGAGTGGAATGTGGGACATCATATACTGCTGCTGCCGCTCGTACACTTTTAAAATAACCGTTTTTATATGCTTTGACTGCAAGAGATATGCGATCTTCTAATCTGATGCTTGAGTCTGCTGGTTTCGATGCCATATTAGATAAAAGGCTGGATTTGATGATGATTCGATGGTGGTTGTAAGATGTCAGGGGTTGAGTGTCTCGCTCAGTTGGGTGTCTCGCTCAGTTGTGGATTACATTAACATAATCCATATTACTAATCATGTCTTATTCAGCTACTCTTATTTGACATTATTATGAGCCTAGATTAATAATGCACTATTTACACAGAGGGAAGAATGATGACCATGTTAATCTTCACCCTTACCGAGGATAGAAGATCCTAATTTGTTTAATACAAATCTCAAGTCAATCAATGCCTGAACGAACTCTTTTATTATCTCCACCATCTCTCTCATCCCAACCAGGGAAATTAAATGAGGCCATCCAGTCATACAATCGCAGTGCAACTGATCTTCAGATGCTTGACCGATTGGCCCTCGGCCTTGCGTCCTTGCCAGACTCGACGTACTCTAATATTGTCATTCTAGCAGGTGCAAATAACTCCTTTTCTGAGAGCCTGAAACTTATAAACCGCCAGACATTCACTCAGATCATCAAGTCTCTCAGAAGAGGTGGGTATATTTACAGTCAGGATGAAGTTTATGGGTCAGCTGGGGTTGCCTTCAATCACAACGAAGCGATTCTGGCTGGGCTGATACGTGTTGACAATGGCAAATACATGAAACCTGATATAGAGGAGATGCAGGCTGTTCCCTTGCGGCTTGGGAGGAAACACAATCATCTTGCTGGGACATCTAGTTTGGAGAAATCAGCTGCAGAACATCAGCTCTTATCTGTGTTTTTCCAGGATAAAAGCATTAGTGGCAATGATGGAGTCACTGTTGCTGGGTCTCAAAAGTTTCATGAGAATATTGATTCGGCAGCTACAATGGACAATAATGAGGTGTCTGATGACGAACTTATCAATGAGGATAATCTCCTGGATGACAGTGAACTTTCAGCACCAATCATACAACGTAAGTGTTCTTCTTTTGTGTGATGTGATTCTCGTTTAAGCGTTATTGCGGCTCTCATCATTTTGACTTGAGTTTATATGTCCATCAATCACAACTAACAGGTGGACCAGCGCCAGAATGTCGTCCCAAAGCAGGGAAGCGCCGACGAGCTTGTAAGGATTGTACTTGCGGGCTCGCACAGAAATTAGAGGAGGAGGATGCAGCCAAGAGAGCTGATGCTGATGAGCAACTTGACGCAATGAAGTTGTCACATGGTGATCTGGCTGAGGTTGACTTCACTGTGCAAGGGAAGGTCGGGAGCTGTGGAAATTGCTCTTTGGGCGATGCTTTTCGCTGTGAGGTATGAAGTCTTATCTAAATATCTCTTCATCAGTATGATATCTGACTATGTTGGCTATCATCTATAGGGCTGCCCTTTCATTGGCCTCCCTGCATTTCAACCTGGTGAGGAAGTTCGGCTTCTTAATAATGATGTTCAGCTATAAGTACTTTGCTACTTAAAGCTATTGTCATCACAGTATGATATTATGTGCAATGTGCAATGAATGACATCTTATCCCTGATCTTCTAACCACTGATTAGATATTGTAATGCTGGTGCGAATGGCTGGTTGCTGGCCATATGTTTAATATATATACTTGATATTCCTGAATGCTCCTCTTAGACCTAGTGGTAAATTATCACATATCCTTTTTTGAATTAGTATGTTGTAGGTAGGTAAGTATAAGAAAGTCTGCATAGTTAGCTATTTATGCTTTATGTATAGGATTAGATTTAAAGTCTAATTAAAGGTAATGGGTTTGCATAGAGGGAATACATATGCACCTCATAAGGGAATTCTAGAAGCTGTTTAAACATATGACCTAGGTTTAGATAGTAAGAAATCACTGAGGTTCTAACTAGGGCTATAATAGCTAAATATAAAAAGATATATATAAATAATAAGTAAGATTATTGTCGTGGCCTACAGTAGGTAGGGGTCAATATAGAAAGTGGTAAGAAGCTACATTCATATCTATGCTATTAAGCCCGTAGAAGTTGGGCATGATGACCTAATTATAGGTTGTAAGAACCATGATGGAGACTACCATAGTAGTAGGCCATGATAATATTCCCCCCTGTGGATATGTTAGTAGTAGGTATAAGAATAATAAGGAAATAAGAATGTACTAGTAGTAAGAATAATAATAAACTATATTATAGAGATAGTGGTAAAGAATATCTTATTAGGTTATTATAGGGGCAGTAGGCTGATGTATTAGATATACTTAAGGGGACTATAAAGATTAGTTAGTAAGGTTATTAATGCTATTTTTAATAGACTATTTTAGGTATAGGAGATTTTCTACTCTTTTAGGTCTTTATCTATAAGGTTTTTATACTTATACTTATCTTAATAAAAATACTACTCTTTAAGTTCTTTTAGTAGAGTATAGTTTTAGATTATATATAGTATCTCTTTATTAAATTAGTCTATCTTCTTAAGGGTATTATATAGTTTTTAAGCTAGTTTACCCTATAGATATTTATTAATATCTTCTTCTAGTATATATATATATATAATAATATTATATTTAGTTAAGTTATGCTATTAGGCTATTCCTAAGTAGATTCTAGTTCTATAGTAATTCTAATATAATAATAATTAGTATAGCTCTAGACTTTATCTTTCTTAGGATAGTATTCTTTAACTATCTAGCTCTTATATCTCTTAAGTAGCTAGTTAATATAGTACTATATAGTTCTAGGGATTAAGATAGTATTATTATTATTATTTTTATCCTTATCTTTTTTATCTTCTAAGTTATTAAGAAGTAGTTCTTAATTATCTTTTATAATCTTAGTTTCTTTACCTTCTAGCTAGATATAGAGGGTAGTAATAGTAGCTATAACCTCCTTAATATATATA